GTTGTCACAATTGATTTCTCATTGTAATTATGATACCAAAGCCTACACTAATTTGGCTGTCACTACTAGGCTTATGGAATGACAGAGCACAGCTGCATTACACTGACACATGGGGACCCAAACAAGGGCCATGGCATTGCAAAGAAACACTCAGTTGGGTTCATTCTTCCCAATTTAGAAGTGAAGTTCATTAATCCTGCCACGGGTCAGTCACTCCCCAAGAACACCCCGGGTGAGATTTGTGTGAGAAGCCAATGCGTGATGCAAGGTACCAAGGCTTTTGCATTGATTTTTGCAATAGACGAAATAGAATTTCTCTTCCATTAGAAATGGAATTTATCAGGTTCATTCACTCATTCTCATTGCATCATGTCACATCCATTGCAGGTTACTACAAAAATGAGTACGAGACTGCCCTCACCATCGATGAAAATGGATGGCTTCACACTGGTGACATTGGTTTCATCGACGAAGATGGAGATATTTTTCTCGTGGATCGCATCAAAGAGTTAATCAAGGTCAAAGGATTTCAAGTAAGAAATGACACCCTTACAGGTTTTGATTTTGCAGTACATGAAAACATATACGAGGCTTAATCTTACAAAGACACCAACTGCATTCCATTTCCTAAAATCCTAACAAATGATTGATTTGCATATAACCAGAATGAGAATTGGTCAATTTGTTAAACTTATACTATAAGTTTCATAAACTTGAATTTGTTGATTATTTCAGTTGGCCCTTTTTTTTCTTCGTTTGTGAGAAATCTCTTCGTTTTCTTAACTGTATTGTAAAAATGTATCCTGCAATAGCATAACACTAAGTACTAACACTTGGTTAAATGTCATCATTTTGATTCATAGGTTGCTCCTGCTGAATTAGAGGGCATCCTTCTAACTCATCCTTCGGTCGAAGATGCTGCTGTCGTGGGGTAAGCATATCATCGTGCACCCTCATTCTTGTCAAACCAAACTCTGCAGACTAAATGGAGATACTAATGGAGTTAAAAGGCAAAAATGGAATTGACAATGTTGCTATATATTACTTGCAGACTGCCCGATGAAGCAGCAGGGGAGATACCAGGTGCATGTGTGGTGATGAACTCGAGGGCAAAAGAGAGTGAAGAGGAAATTATGGAGTTTGTTTCATCTAATGTAGCACATTATAAGAGAGTGAGAGTGCTGCAATTTGTGGACAAAATCCCAAAATCGCCTTCAGGAAAGATAATGAGAAGGCTTATCAAAGAAAAGATGGTTGAAAATATAAAACCCAACTCCAAAATTGGCGTAGAAAGACGGCTTTTGAAGTGACCAACATTTACCATCTTGAATGACTTCGAGTGTAGTGAATACTGAGGTTCTGAAACTTCAAATAATCCGAGCAATATCTTCAAGCAGTGCTCAATCCATTATGTGATTGATTAGGAGGTTATTGTTTACCAATATATGAAGAATTACGATCAACATAAACCTCCCTTAATGAAAATCTACTATTCTTATTTGATGCACATAATTTTGGACGTGACAATCAACGTTTGATTGTAAGTTGTAATCATATGTTCAAAAAACGCTTGATTATAATGATTCCTCGTTAACAAAAAAAATGGTGATTATGATTGAAAAATGGGTTTGAGGATCACTACTATCGAATTATGAAAGTGCCAATCTCTTCAAAGAATAAGCCTGCTTACAAATATAAAGAAGTTACAAACCTTGATTAGAACCACCCCTTTTGGGAGTAGCATTTCTTTTTTTTTTTTTTTTATTCAATGGTCAAGAGGATTCGGACTAACTTATGCACTTTGATTAATCTCTTCTCTGGTATGATTAAAAACAAATAATTCACGTTAGTTCTAAAGTGTTCAGAAAAAATTTATCTCTCATAATCTAATTTTAAAAAATTATCAAAATTCGAAAACGAACTTAGGAGACAACATTTTAGAAAAGTCTTGAAATTCATTTTAAATGGTATGCAACCGATCGTTACTGTGCTGACCTGGATACCATTATTTAACGAGGAGGAGAACAAAATCTGAAAGTGTCGATCAGCAACATTTGACTAATGGACTTACGTGGTGCCGACCTTAAGTCACACAAAAATTATTAATTTAATGTGTTATAAGATATCAAGTTGCTTGGAAAAATTATTATTTTAATTCTTTTTTTTATTGTAATTATCTGTCTGAAGTGAGGAATCCACCACTAGTTGTCCACCCATTTATGCAGAAAGATCCGCACGCCTGACAAGCACATTTTACATATCTCCTCCGGACTAATTCCACTTAGAGTTAAAAATTTAATCTAATTTGTTGATATAATAATATGGTTTAGTAAGAATTATTGGATCAATATCAAGTTCTAATGTTTGATGGGGCCTACAATCAATTTAAAAATCACAGTATATTAGGTCAACAAATTAGATCAAATTTTTAAGTGTCAATAACATTGTTATTCTGCTAATTCCATCTTTTCTTTATGCTGAGAAAAAAACTACCATTACAACCGCACATCTTTCGATATATTGATTTCCAATTGTCAACTGGTTGAACTTAGTGCGTGCTTTTTTATTATTTTTATGTGGGGGGGGTGCGGAAAGGTCGATTCTTATGTATCGTTTGCTGGTGCTACTTCAAATAGTTATTTTTAAGCACAAAAAAAAAAAAAATGACTTTTGTTATGAAAGAAGAAATATATTTGATAATTATTATATAATAGAAGCAATTGATCCAGGGAGAAAACCAGAAACTACTTTTTATTGAAGAACTATTTAAATGAATAAATATTGATTATCTTTGTTGCTTCTTCTAGCATAACACATGCGTGGCATGTGAGGAATTTTACTACAATCATACTTTTTTTTTTTTTTACTGTCAATGTGTCCGAGTTAAATATCTCGTTAATCTCTTTTTTGATTCGGTCAAAGATAGATCATCTACACTGAAATTAGAATATTCATGAGAGATAAATTCTTCATGACTTGACCCCAAAGAATTATCAATATTTAAACTCATGATGTCTAAATTTACACTAATATTATTGAGACATAATTTAAGGATATAATAAGTTGTCACAAATGAAATGATAGTGAAATATAGTTAATCATAGGTTCCATTATAGAATTAAATAAATTCATTATCATTTTATTGATGATAAATCATTATGTCTCAAATTATGTTCCGTTGGAATTAATCAAGACTCTTTCCCTTTGGCTCAATTGGGCCTTAACCCACCCCCTCCCCAAAAAATGAATTTGAGCAAATTGAAATAAAATTTTGAGATATTAAAAGTATAACTTTTGAATTTCAATTTCATGAGATAAAAAAATATTTTTTTATTATTATTTTAAAATTTTATAAAAAAGGAAATAGCGAAATTCGAATTTGTGATTTAACGGTCCAACGATAGATCGTAGTTGTCATTAGGTTAACCATTAATCTTCGTGAAAAAATTATTTCTTAGTATTATTGTATCTTCTCTTTTTTTTTTTCTCAATAAAAGTATGATGTGCCGAACCATATTGTTTTTTTTTTATTTCATCCATCATTCTGATTAAAATCTCTCTCCAGTAAAAACTTTTGGCAGTCCAGCAACACTGTCGTGCAGGCTCTGTACATAATCATCCCACCCAACCCACTCCACTCCCACCCCCACCCCGCAACTGCATCTTCCTGGCCCACACTCCACACAAGTTAAAAAAACAGCTCACATTATTGTTCTCTCAGTACAAACCACTTTTTCTCTCTCACTTCCCACAACTTTCTCCATTTGGTAAAGTAAAACTCGTCCCATTTTCCCTTTCTTTTTTTACAGAATGTACTACCTTCCGTGATCGGTAAACCTCTGGTTTTCGTATTCACTCCCAAAATAGGTGTCCTATTTTCCTTTATTTTCTCGGGAAACGAAAGGAAAAAGCGAAAGAAAGTTATTTCGAGGTGGTTTCTAATTCCAATCTGTTATGGTTGATTTTTTTTTTCTGTACAATTTTTTGATTCTTACAGTTGGAATACAATCGCTAGATCAAAGTATTGTGTTTGGTTCGTAAGGAAAGTGATTTCATTTCAGTTGTGTTAGTGCGTAAGTTGTTGTTATGAGTACTCAATACAGTAAGTTGTATATTTCCGATTTTGGAGAAACATCTGTTGTGCCTTTCACGGGTTAGGTTGGATTTTATAAAAGGACAAAGATGCTTCTCTCTTTCTTTATTTTCTTTTTCTTCCATATTTTCTCGGGAAAGTGACGAGTCCACTTCACGGGTGGTAAGACGCACTGTTTACGAAGTAAACGATGTTGTTTTCTCGCATTTGCTTAGGAAGGATATTGTAGGCCAGAGGAAAACCCCAAACATTTTCAGATAAAGGTAAGGAGACCATAGCTTTCTGATGAAAAAATTGATTTCCACTGATAAACAGTTAAAAACACCAGAGAATCATATACAATATATTTTTGTTTTTGGCTTTATCGATTGACATTTCAATAAATATTTACGTCCTTCATAATTTAGAGCAATTTGTTGATTGATTTATTGGTTTCTTAACTAGGTAGGGAGTGTAGAATAGCAGAGATGGAATTTGTTTTACTAGGGTTTTGGATGCATGTGGCTTCAGCTTCTTGTGGAATGTTTGGATATCGTTTGACTGATTTTGGTGGGTCACGGTCTTAAACGTATTGATTGTTTGTTATGGTAAAAATAGATCGGTAAAAGTTGATAGAGAGAGAGAGAGGGAGAGACTTTTGTTTTGTATGGAGTTAAGGTTGGTTAATGTTTGGTGGGTGATTGGTAAATGTAATGTTTTCTTGGGATTTGTGGAGAAAGAAGACGTGTGGTAAGGGGTAGAAAGCATAATAATTCCATCAAATTTGTTACAGGAGGTTGGAAACTCTCTCTGTATTTGCTCACAATGATAAGCTTGATTATTTTTGTGTGACTGAAACGTGATTTTATTCATGCGGTTGGCAAGTGTGAAACACAACACTAGCAGAGATTGTAGGGTGTTGTGGATTGAGCTTCTTTGAATTTTAACATCATGTTGGTTTGGAAGCTTTGATTTGTATGTTCAGCTTAGAAGGTTGATGCTTCTCTTGAATAAATGAATTTCTCTTTTGATCTGTGCACACTTTCAGTGTAGAATTGGGCCCGTGGCACTTTCAGTGAACTGGAACGGTGATCTGATCCTTTGCTTTTGAGAGGAATTGCAATGAGCTGCCAATACATTGATCTTTTAAAACAGAGGTGCCCAGCAGTTTCATGGGGCAAGTCTTAAAGGTAGGCCTCGTCTTCCTGACTCAGCCATAAGTTGACTCAGGCCATCGATTTTTGAAAATATCCATACTGGCTTTCGCTTTTTGGTGTTTGTTTTTGCTACCTTTTTCTGTGAATTTATCCTATGGACCTAATTTATAATCACATTATGTCGATGAATGCAAGATCTGACACCAATCATTTGTGCATTCCATGTAGAAGAACATTGGGTGACTCCATTTCATGACTCCATCCTCTGCCATGGAGTGGAATGCGAAGTGGGACAGGGAAAACCTAGTCATGTTCAGTACAAAAGGCATTGAAAGTCCAAAGAAACTACAATTAACAGACTGGGGGATTGTTGAAGATGGAGAATTTGATGTTGAATATTTTAACTTGCCCGGAAGAAGCGGTGTTAGCGGTAGCTCTGGCTCTAACGGGGCTCATGATTATTCAACAAAGAGCTCAATATCAGCAACAACCAACTCTTCGTCAAAGGGTGAGATCAAAACATCAAATTTCACTTTTGAGGTATTTGAAGGTTTTCCAGGAGATTTTAACAAGAGAGAATTGGTCAGAGCAGAGCAATCCACAACTTCTCCCCCACTGGAGACCTCAGTTGGCTCTGGTGAACCATTGATTGGTCTGAAACTTGGTAAGAGGACGTATTTTGAAAACAATGGTGCTGGGAGCAACAATAAGACTCCTTCTGTTTCTGTTGTTCCTGTGAAGTCTGCAACGACAGCAAAGAAAATCAAATCATCTTGTCAGAGTGCACCCACCCCACGCTGCCAAGTTGAAGGCTGCAACCTTGATCTCTCATCAGCTAAAGAATATCATCGAAAGCATAGAGTTTGTGAAAGTCATTCTAAAAGTTCAAAGGTCAATGTAGGAGGTCTAGAACGTCGGTTTTGTCAACAGTGTAGTAGGTAAGTTTCCAATGGGAATTACAGCTACTTGTAAGAATGGAAACATTGTCAATTGAAATGCATACACTATCTGTTAAGTTGAAACATTGATTGCTCTTGGTTGCTTTCCTGGTTTCATTCATCTTTTTTGATGGTGCTAGTTTCCTGCACAATCTGCCTTGAGTCTTCCTTCTAGCTTTTTGTGAATGGCTTCACTATAATGTTGGCTTCTTTTATTGATGTTGAAGGTTCCATAGTTTGCCGGAATTTGACGAGAAGAAGCGAAGCTGTCGCAGGCGGCTTTCTGATCACAATGCACGGCGTCGCAAGCCACAGCAAGAAACAGTTCAGTTTAATTCAACACGGCTGTCTTCATTTTATGGTATTATTTTTAAGTCAGACTTTCAACTAATTTTTCCTGTCAATATAAACTTTGGCTGGATTCTTTCGTCATTTTAGTATTGGTTATAGGTAATTATGCAATCTTTCGTCTTAGTGATGATTTAATGATTTACTTAGAAAGGTTGTGGCATTTTATCTCAATTGAGAGTCTAAACATGAATGTCTCTCTGTTACTGCAAATGGTGCGTGTTAACAGAATGTGTTCTTTACCTATATGTAGCAGCGCTAAGATCCTACATCCGCCGACTAATCTTACAACTTACATTTTAATCTATATTTTATTAAACACACTTACATTTTAACAATGCTATTTAACCGTGTCAACTATTTATCAGTTTGTTACCTACTTACATTTTAACCATATTAAATATTTTAACCAACCATTCATTTAAGAAAGTAAAAGAAAGAATACATTGCATGGAGATACCCTATGTTACCTTATTTTACCTAAAAGTAGCAACGCTAAAGGTTCTTGATTACTTGTATGATGATTTTTCACTTGTTTAATTGACCCACAGTATATGAATGTGGGTTTATTAATTGTAAAATTGAAAATTTCATGTTTCATTATGTTTCAACTACTGCCACAGAATGTTTTGGGATCAAAATTTATTTCTTTTTTTTTGTTGTCATCTCTTTTCTGAAATATTCATATCGTTTATGTTTTGGAGCTAACCATAACTATGCATCAAAATGAAATTCTGATTTTTAGGTTTCAGTAATATATAGTTCTGTTTTTTGATATTCCAACCTTCTACTGTAAGTGCAGTCAGTCTGTATAGCATTGCTCACCAAGTACATTCAAATTTATTATTCTTCTCCCTGGTTGTTAAAAAATCCTACACATTTGTCCCCAACAAATTTGACTTCCGTTTATAACATTTGTCACAATCTTACAGAAGGCAAATAGTATGTTCTGCACGAGACATACAATTCCTTGAATGGTTCTAGCCAAAAAAGTAAATTGGGTTCTGCACTATGCCGGTTCATCTAGTTCATCTAATATGCTTTACATCTACAGATGGCGGGAAGCAAATGAATTTTGTGTTGAACAATGCCCCTCTCCTACATAGTAGACCTGCTGCAGATTCAACTTGGGAAACCACATGCAGCTCCCAGTTCACACTAACAAAAGGGTTTTCATTGAAGCCTCAAAAAGCTGGAAGCAGTGATGGTGTGCCACATTTGCCAGGGATTCAGCTGCCGCATGCCATCAGTATTCCTGGTCATGATTCCAATAGCATCATGTCATTCAAGGGCACCACAACTGAGGTTCTTGGTCAAGGTTTGTCTGGATTTTTCTCCATCGCATGGTTGACTAGGGGAACACAGTTAGTAAGAATCCCAATGACATTAATTTATCCTGTGATGGATGAGGTTTGCTTAGCCCACTTAAGAACTCTCTGCCTGAAAATTACTTTTGACGCGAAACATGCATCCTTTGACCTAACTTTTATGTTGTGAACATCTCATGAAGTTAAGGTTTATCGGACTTCCTTTTGACTTTTGGATGAAGGGAAGAAGTTTTTATAATACAGAGATTTTTTCATGATAATTATATGCTTGTGTCGCTGAAATCTAGAAGTAAACAATAAAGAATGGAAGATGTCGGACTTAAATTCTAGAACATGGGGTAATAGGAGCAACTAGATTTCCATGCTAAAGTAGCAGCCCAGGGCTAGGATAAGCAGATTCAAGTTCATAAATAATGCCGACTATAAAGGATCCTACAAATATGAGCTAAAAGAAGGGAAAATACAAGAAATTAGTTTAACGTCTTTGCAAAGTAGCACCAACTCCTAAACTATACAAATATCTAACCCAGGATTATTGTTTATAGTTTAGGAGTTGGTGCTCCTTTGCAAAGACATAAGTAGGTTTCAGTGGGTTGCAGGATATTTTTCAGTTTTTCTAGTAGATAAAATTGAGATGGGGAATTGGTTCTTTTGGTCAACATTAAGCACTTGCAATTGAAAAAAGAGGCAATCACAAAGTAATGTTGCATTTCATGACACTTGGAGAACCACAAAAGATGTAATTCTCAGGAATCTGATCACAGTCCAATTTCTACATAAGCGCTATCATACTAGATTCTTTCATCATGCGCAATTATTAATCTCATTAAAATAATTGTAGCATGAATCCCATGATCATCATGTGACGATTTTTTACAGGTTCCAAGGAATCCATGCGTCCTCGCACCTTAGATGCAGCACTGGATATTCACCGTGCTCTCTCTCTTCTGTCAACTACTTCCTGGGGTTCATGTGAGCCGGAGTCCATTGATCACCCCATCATGCATGCAGCTCATACCAGCATGCCTCAGCATGTGATGCATGCAGTGCCCCAAAATTTGCCACTTGCTTCATCAGAATACTGGCAGGTTGAACAACAGTCAACTGATCCCCTGGCCGTTACCATGCCTGCAAACAGAAATAGCAACAGCCACTTCCAAGAAATTCATCTTCTCAAAACACCATTTGAGACCGACTTCTTTCTCAATCCGTTTAACTAATGATTGAAATAAACTCTCCTGTCTCCTGGATCTTAAAGCAATGTCAAGGTCAGTAAGTTTTATGTTACATAATTTTCTAGATGGAGCCGACTAGTGGTTAAACCTGTTTCTCTCTTTAGTATGTGGAGTATTATCTCTGTTAATCCTTACGATAAAAGTATTGATATATGGATTCTTAAACTAAAGTTTGCTTGATCATACCCGCTCTGAGTACAGAAAGATCTCTCTACTAAGAAAAATTTGTGGCAAGTTCTTGTTGCCTTCGGAAGATAGTTTAAGCTTTCAGCTAGAGCTGTCGGTGTTTTCTGATTCCAGAAATTGACAGGGTTCCACAGATTGATTTTCCTAGACGAATGGTACTTCCTTTCCCATGATGTTAAGAAATTTGTGATTCTTATAATTTCAAATTTGGAGATATGAATACTAACAGCAATCTATCTCTATACTCTTATAGAAAATCTTAGTACTTGATTATCTAAAAGGTTTGTCATAGTGGCTGACAGATCTATTCCTAGTTCACGTTGCTATTAGTTGGTGTGTTTGCATCCATATTGTGCGGTTTGGAGACCTTATTTGAGTACTGAATGAATCCATGTGTGGTGATCGTTGCTAATATTTTCTGTGTCGAGTACCTTGGTTGCTTGGTATTCTGTGATGAGTCGTTCAGTTTTATAAGCACTTATTTAGATTGTACTTCATGAATGGGCGCTCTCTGGTGACAGTCACATATTGACATGGTTTTCAGTTATGTTGTGGCAAAATTGGAAAATTCACCCAAAAAGCGAAATGTTTTTATTCAAAATCTAACTGGTATTTTCAGTCGTAAAATGATAGTATTTTTATTTAAAAATGATATTTTCACTTTAAAATAGGTATATCTATTCAAAAAATGGAATATTCACTTAAAGATAGGAATAGGAATGTCACCGACAAGGGATATTTTTTCATTCAAAATTTATTATTTTTACTCGAAAAATAATATTTTTACTTGGTGTAGAAATGGAGCAAAACGAAATCAGTACATGAGAAAAGTAGCCACAAACTCCCATATTCCCATTCATTGCTTTCAAATTCAAACGCAGAGTAGTAAGGGGTGTACCCCAAACGCAACACCAAGAAGCCACAACCATACCTCGGGATAAGAATAAGTATCTCATAAGAGAGAATGTGCAAAGTTATGCCAAATATATTTTTATTCATATATTTAGTTAGAATGAAAAATTTTATAATTAAATTGATTTAAAAAATAAAAAAATATACGTATTATAATTGAAAGTTAAAAAATCAAAAAACAAATGGCTTGAAACCTAATTTTAGGATAATCACCAACACAAAAATCGATTAATCAAATTTATATCAAAATTTTTTAAAATTAATAACTAATAAAATATTTTAAGAAAAATAAGGGTAAAATGAGAAGTTAGTTATAAATTACAACTTGTATTTCTTTGTATTTTTTACAAGAAAAAAAGTTTGTTAGTTGTGAGAAGATTCAAGAAAAAAATTCATTATTTTTTATTATTTTCTTTCTCATACTAATCAAACATATAAAAAAATTAAAAATTTTCTATTTCTTTTATTTGTTATCATTTTTTTGCTAAACAAACGAACCTTAAGGGTAAATTACATCTATCTTCCTTAAGACTAGTCCAAATAACAAGGAAACCCCCTCATATATAGAAAATAACACTGACCTTCTTTGTCAGTAACTCATGCTTGAAAGTACTGTATTATTAAAAAAAAATCAAATATTTATCGTGAACATAAAATAATCAAGCATTGAACTTGGACGCACACTAAGATCAAAACCTAGCATACATTCTTTAATACACCCGCATTTTATATAAATGATTAACAAAGTATTAATTTATTAAGGAAAAAAAAATTATTGATCATTGGATAAATGAATTTAATACCGTAAGATATGTTCAATATTAGTCATAATCGTTGACTTTTTAAGGGGGGAAATATTAGGGAAAAAAATTATAATTTCTTGACCGTTGGATGAATGAATTTGAGACCGTAAGATGTGTTCAAAGATCAACCATAATTGTTGGTTTTTTGAGGAAGAGAAAATATTAAGGAAAAATTATAATTTCTTGATTATTAGATGAATAAATTTGAGACCATCAGCTTATTGAAGCCACCCTATTTTATATTATAGATTATAGATTTCCGTTTCATTTGTGTAACGGAAATCATTAATAGACTATAATAACCTTTCACGTATTTCACTCAAAATTCATCTTCTCCATTTTCTCACACCCAAACTCATCATAACGAACCCCACCAAACAAACCAGCAGCAAAATCATTGTCCACCACCTCTTTTTCCCTCTCCTTCAATTCCCATACCTCTCAAAAAACTTTATTCGTAGCAGTCATCTCCTTCTTTCCCTCTCTCTCTCTCTCTCTCTCTCTCGATCGATCCCCCCAAATACCATGATCAATCGCCACCGACTTACATAATCAAACCACACCACTGCCTTTCTCTCCTTTTTCCCAATCCACCAACCAAAAAACTGGTGAACTCATTCCCACCCAAAAGCCTTTTCAGTGAGGTGGTTTACGCCATAGAAGTAATATGTAGAAAATCTGAATCTGGTGGAGAGTTTGGAAGACAAAATTCCTAGGGGAGAGAGAGAGAGAGAGAGAAAATCGCCAATAATCAGCGGTGGTGAAGAGTTTGGAAGACAAAATTGCCGATAATCTTCATCGCTGCCTACTGGATTTATCAATCTTTCGACTCAATTTCGAAATCGAAGCAAAATCAAAACATGGGTAAATATAGAAACATATTTGAGCCGACTTGTTTGGCAATAAGTTTAGTTAATCTTACATCTGGGTAAAGGTAATATTGATATTTTCAAATAATAGGTTGGTTACGTCATAAGTTTTTTATGACTCCCAGTTAACTACACGGTAATAAGTCAGTAACAACTGGGGCTGTCTGTTTTAAGGATTAAATTGGATATAAGGAGGTAATATTAGAGAAATAGTACGTGAGACCTATTTTATACCTTATTTGTTTAGTATTTTATATTCAATATTATTTTTTGGGTCATAATACTGACCCGCTATGAATAATAGTTATAATATCTTGTAGATAGTCTTAATGAATACCATCAATCAGGTGGTATTATATGCCCGATACAAATAAAATGGAGGTAAAAGATCCAATTACCCTTATGTACAATTATTTTTTTAAAATTACAAGGTTATAATTGTTTTTTTACGGGTCATAGCAGCAAATTTTGATTTTTTTAAGTAGGTATTACACCGATAATATTTTGTAACAAACAAATAAAGAAAATAATAAGATTATAATTTAAGATCGTATATAATATACCATTGAATCAAAGTGAAACGAATATAAAATCTTATATTCGAAACAACCGATTCCTTTGGGGTTTTACGCTATAGGCAACCATAGCAGAAGGGAATGCAGTGTTATTATTGATGCTGAGGCGTCTCGTTGTTATTTAGACAAATTTTTTAGGAGGTGGATGTAATTTAACTTATATAAAAAGGATTTTTTTTTTTTGATCAGATATATAAAAAGGATTATAAAAGAGATTGCACCCCAAAAATGGGTAATAGCTTGAAACTCACAACAGACCCTAACCTAGGGTTCCAAATCCCAAATCCCAATTCCCAATTCCCAATTCCCCAGGTCTCTCTGAACTCTCTACCTCTCTGTGAGCGGGTACTAGAAAACAACAATGTTCGGAGCTCAGTCCACCCTTGCTTTCGGCACCCCATCCTCCACCCCGCCTTCGGCACTCTATCCGCGCCTTCATTCGCCACCGGCTTCGGTACACCACTGTTCTCAACCCCATTCTCCCAACAATCCCAACGCCAATAGCAACAGCAACAAACTCCTTTGTTTCAGCCACAACAAAGCTCCGGTGGTTTTGGATTTTCGACTTCATTCGGTGCCGTGCAAGCACAATCTTCCCCGTTCGGTCAGTCAACGTTGACACCGGGGTTGCCGTTCGGAAAGGCTCAGTTGACCGCTCAGATGGCTCACGTGAATCCTCTTCCTTTCTCTCTCGCCGATCGGGACATTCAAGTAAGTCATTATACGTCTTTTCGATGTGCCTTCGAATTTTGGAGGTTTTGAATGGTTTTTTTGGTGTTCTATCAGGCGATTGTTGATGCTTACAAGGTGTAGCCTGGAAACCCTAAGTATGCGTTTAAGGTTCGATTCTTTGCTCTGAATTTCTTTTTGCTGGAGATTTGACTGTTTGTAGCTAATAATTAACTTTCTATTTGGTTGTTAAGAAAATCAATGAGAAGAAGCAGAGATCAAATTTTGAATGTTTTCATTTGGGTTAAAACAAAAATAGGATGATCGTTTTCTTCCACTAGGCTAGTTGTGTCTGGTTCTTTTGTTTTCTTTTTCTTTTTTTGAAAGTTGTCAACGATGATAGCAGGATTCAAAACCTATGCGTTGTTTGAAAATGTGGATTGGTATAAAACATGGCTAAGTTAGGAAGTACACTCGGATATGGGATAAGTTTAAGATACGATATGGACATGGATATAGTTATACGGTAAAATCCAAAAATAAATTTTGCCCCATTGCTCACCATGAATATACATATTGAGTGAACTTCGAAAGTCCTGGAGAAATAAACTTCTATGAGTATTGATACGTTCCCTTGTCAACCTTTTTAGTATCCCATCTATTGACATGTAATCTATATTTGCTCTTAATAATCGAATGCTATAGAAAATTTTACTCCCAAGTCACTAAATGATCCTTTTTTTCCTCATCAGTTCCTTTTCACAAAAGAAAATTTCTATCATTTTCCCAATTCTCATTACAATCTTTCTTGGCATTATTAGCTCTCTTCCACCTATCCAATCTTTTTCCAACCCTCTCAACAAGGTCCCAAAATGCTAAAGATAAAGAATTTCCCCCCAAAGGAAGACCTATCCCCCTTCTCTCTCATGCGCACTCAAACATGGAATTCAGCATATTCTTTTCCCTTGCTTATATGTTTTGCAGCTGCAGGGGCATTTTCAAGCTGACACCCTTCCCTTGAACAAAAGGCTGAGACAGAAAGAACAAGGACTTCAAAGGCGCCTCTTAAGAGTGAGGCAAGCAAGTACTGCACTCTTGATCTTTGTTGCAACAGTAGTGTGTGCTTTTAATGCTCATCCTACTTCTTGTTGCATGCATGCTTGCATTTTATATTTTGTGAAAAGGTGATGAAAATACTGGTGGCATTGGAAGGAAAAGGTTGTCGATTACCATTGATGAAAGAAGAAGCCGAATTAGCTGAGAAGTTGGCTGCAATCAATAGACAGGTTGATATTCCTTGGCTTTGACCTTTCTATAAGATAGAAAAATAAAGTTTCTAGTCCTGCTTTGGAATGTATATTCTTGGCATTGTACTGGCAATCAGACAAATGTGCAGTTGAAAGGATCTGGAGCCGAGGAGGGTTCATAATCTGCTAACTGTATCCCGTGGCCAAGCAAATACATGAACAAAGTCTTGCTGATCTGCAGGAGTTATGGTTGGACAAGTTTTAAAACATTTAAGTTTACGTTCCCAGCACTGTCATTGGTCATTTTTTGTTTTTTTTAAATGAGTTATAATTACGTCAGTGGGCTAGTTTGGCTTAACGTTGGGCCTGATGAGCCCATAAATTTAACAAAATTAGTTAGTTCGGATATAGTTAATATTGGGCTTAGTCATAAATTTAAGCCATCAGTGGGCTATTTGGGCTCGGTACTGCTGAGCCTATAATTTACAAGATCAAAGTGCTAGCTTTAGTATTAGGCTCGCTGAGCCCATAAATTTAACCCATAAGTGAGCTAGTTGGGCCTATTATTGGGATTACTGAGTCCATAAATTTAACCAGATCAAATAAAGCTAAAGGACTGTCTTTTAGGAATGGCCATAATCTTGCCATTGAGTTGGGCTTCAACTTGGACCAAGCAAAATGAAGTAGGCGATGAGGCCCATATACCTGGCCTAAGAATTGAACAATACCTCGTTGAGTTGGAGCGGGCAATATTTAGGCCCCACTCAGAATCAAGTTTCAGGACTGGCCTGGCAAGGGCCCAGGAAACGTCTCCAGGCTGGGCCTCAATAAATTAATGGATCTAGGCAAGTCAAAAGGTAAAAGAGTGATCCACCTTCCTGGGCAGGGAAGAGCCCGGTAAAAGTATATAGCCTATGGTGTGCTATGCCCAGGCCAGCTCGGGCCTTTTCAATACCTAGGCACACTTTACAGCAAACGCCTACTTTAACAACATAATTTGATAACTCCCATTGAGCCACATGATATCGAATCGTACATAAGTCCCATCATTTGGAAATTCAATTGAGCAATTTACCAAAAGTGACATTTTATCACAAAAAATGAAATATTCACTTAAATAGTGGATTATTCACTCAGAAAATAATATTTTCTTTCAAAAATTAGTATTTTTGCTCAAAAGTGATATTTTCACTCAAAAATATGAAATTTTCCTTCAAAGAGTAACATTTTTACTAAAAAAATTAGTATTTTCACTCAAAAACTGATATTTTCACTCAGAAATTTTTACTCCAACTAAGAGTTCTTTACGACATTTTTTGCCAATGAAAAATAAAATCTCCATTCTTGCACAGCACTTGTGTTCACAACACAACAGTTATCCCTACAAGAGATAGTTGTTAAACATTTCATGTATGGAAGTTATTCAGCAATAAAATAGACCTGGATCAATCCCCAACCAAAAGGAAAAAAAATTCTTCCTACAGTTACAATCATCAAGCACCTGCTGATTGCTTAAATAACACATAATAGCTAAAAATATAGATCACAACCTCCACCACATGCATAAAACAGATTGGCCTCCATCGGTTTTGCTTAGTCATACTAACCTTGGACTATACATAAATTCATCTGCAAGTCATACTAGCTTGGCAACTTTCAACTACAACACCAACCTTATTTACTCTAGTATTTCTGTATGACAATGTTATTACTTTACTCCAACTAATAAGAGCACATGTTACAAACGTCAATGCATCCCATTTGGAAGAAGATCAGCAAAATAATGACAGGACAAACTGTGAAAAAAATTAAGATCAAGACTCATTGATTATATATACTTTGTACAGGGTACATGCTTTTATCAACATAGAAAATGGTGATCCCTCTTTTGGCGGGAAACCACAACCAGACGGAAAAACTCCCACATAGGTAGCATTTTCAAACTGTGACATTTTGGAGGGATATTCCATACTAGTTCACATTGACCAACACTCAATGCCAGATCCATATATGACCACAGAAATATGAGAACATAATCTAGTTCTCAGTTTAAACATAGCTCTACCTGAACCCAATTACCACGAACAATGGAACCTCACAAACACCAACAGACACGAAAAACTCCCACTTAGATGACATTTTCAAACTGTGACCTTTTTGGAGGGATATTCCATACTAGTTCACATTCACCAACACTTGATGCTAAATCCATATACAATCACAGAACATATTCTAGTTCTCAGTTTAAACATAGCTCTAACTGAACCCAATTACCCCGAACAATGGGACCTCACAAACACAGTTCAAACAAATCACCCACCCAATGCTGAATTCAGAATGATAATGATCTGGAAACACATCTTTGTGTCATCACATATAGGCCTCTAGTCACTGTAATGGTCATAAAGAATAACAAGCATAACCATTTAGGATAATACAAAGACAAGTAGCCCTCTGTTACAGACAACTAATGGAGAGAAAAGGAGATCCTTGTAAACATACAAGATCATGGACATAAACTTCTAACAGAAGCATCTGCCAGAGCACAGATGCTTTTAACTGCATAGAACCAAGTCAAACTGAATTGGAAACCAGAACAATGCAGGCTGCAGTAAGCCCTTATGCTGCTAGTAGCATAAACTCAAATGCATGTTAACAATACCCACTAAAATAGATGCGATACCAGGTGCACAAATCCTATAAAATAGAAAGCCGAACCTACCTGAAAATCTTGCCTGAACAAGCTGGCTGACACATGATGCAACTTAAAAAGGATCCATAAAGACCATAAATACCATTTCAGTAACTACAACAACGTGACACAGGATCATGAGAAGGCAGAGTAACTCGACAACCGCTGCAACAGAGACGACATGACTGACTTTCAGAGACCCATACTGAGCAATGCTGGACGACGACCCTGGACCTTCTCAACTCTCAAACATGTCCTAGTACTCACTGGAACAGTAGACAAGTGTGAATCAATAAATGCAAAAGTAGGAGCAAAATATAAATTAAAATGGACAGATCTATCCTACGAGTGAGAAAGAAAAGAAAACAAATGAGAAAGAAAAAAAGTAGTCGTAAGAGATGATTAGCTACATATAAATTGTTAATGTGAATTTCTTCTGAATTATGTACACAGATGGTTGAAGAACATAACAATTTCAGGAAACAAATGAGCATACAAAGTAAACACATTATACAACAGACCTGATCGTTCTCATCGGCTGATTCTGAAGAGGACTCATTTGGCTCAGATGGTTTTTCAGCCCCACAATTCTGTCTGTTACACTTGGTCCTAAAAGGATAGTTAATGTTGTTACATTTGTCACACTTCCAGCTACCCTCAGGCATCTCTCGCTCTGGAAGACAGTAGCAGGTAGATGTAAGTATGTGCTTACAAATATGAAGCTAACTATGTTTCTAAAAGTATAAACAAGGACTTACTTGAATTCTTTCCTGACTTTGCAGCCTGCATAAAGAACAAGAATATATTACAAGTCAACAAAAACTTAAAACTTTTTTTGAACTTTATAGGCTTTCAAAATATAAGGTCGCAAACAAGGTACAAGGGCAACAGTACCCGATGCACACATAATGAAGAAGAGGAAACTATGTTATCTATTAATATTATCCAAAAAAATATAGCGTACAAACACAGAAGAAAGTGGCTCAAACCTGGGATCCAGGCTTTGGTGTGTTGCACTTCCTCATGTTACAAACAGTTCTAAACGAAAAATTAACATTTCCACATTTTGGACATGTCCAATCATTTTCACGAGTGCCATCTAGAAGTGTATAGGAAAGGAACAAAACAAAATCAGTACATGAGAAAAGTAGCCACCAACACCCAATCATTGCTTTCAAATTCAAACACAAAGTAGTTATCTCAAAGCTGTACCTTTCTTTTGGGATTTATCATCTGCAAAGTATCCTGGCCTTGGAGACTGCACAAAAATTTCAATCATTAATTCAGCACCACACCAAACAGCAAGTATGCAGATTTCATGAAAAATAAGTGTAGAAAGGAGATAGATAATCTTTCACCCAGACAAGTAACAAAGTTAAAAGTAAATGTCAAATTTGAAATGATCATGGACGGTAGCCTATATTCAAAAACATTATTAAGGTGCCACATCGGTGTCAGCCAATTACCATGTATAAGTGAGTACAACTCTGCAATGCCATTGTAAAAAAAGGTCAACAATACTACAAAATAGGGGTCAAATTAATACTTACCATGACAGCATGTCCCATGGGCAAACCAAAGCCATATCGGTCCATCAAGGGGGCTACCCCATACATCCCACCTGAAATTTAAAGGATTATGAACGCAACACCTAGAAACCACAACCATATCTCGGGATAAGAATATGTATCTCATAAGAGAATGAGCAAAGTTATGCCAATTAAGAAATAATGTTCCTCAACAATGAGATAATGAATGGAAACTATTCATCATGCTAAAATGCTCATTACGCCTCAAAATAAAAGAGACCATCCAAAAAAATGCATTTCCCCGTATATTAATATCCTGTTGCAGAACAGATAAAAGGAATTAACTGAGCAAAACAATATTGGTGATCAAACAAGTATTGGATTTTCTTCCATTCTTCCTCAAAACACAAGGGAGCAACCGAAAGCCCACTTACCGTTGCCCACAATAGATCCACTAGCATAATGTGATGGGGCAGATAGATGGAGGGGTCGATAGGGGCTTCCTCCAGATAGGCGGCTGCCATAGGTGTAATGATATGCAGAACCCCCAGGAAATGGAACATCATATGGAGGCATTGACGTTCCATTGAGCAGGGAAGAACCATAAGGTGGCACACCTATATACATTGACGAGGGTGCACCAGAGCCTACATAGGGAGCTGCGGTTGAGTAGCCCTGTGGTCCTTGCATGGGCTTAGCAGCAGATTTCTGAAACAGAAAAAATATAATATAATTGATCAGTATACTTATAGAGACTGGTGAAGAAACAAAAATGCCAAAAAAAATTATTTTACTATCCAAGAATACAGAAAAACTAAACCTCAAAGAGAGAAAATAATGGGGGATCCCTGGCCAAAAAAAACATGCAACAAGGTCTGGAAATATTGAAACAACATAAGACAGGAGAAAAATAAAATGCAACAAAAAACTCCATTAATACATTGCAGCATGTTACAGGAACAATCCTAGCAGAAAGCTTGATGATATTTGCAAAATAGTAAAGTCAACAGCCTGACAGAGGTCATTGCCTAGGAGAAAGGCCTGAAAAACAAAGACAATCACTTCCAGGAAAAACAAAGACAGCCAGTGAACTAGGCATTGGAACTATCATGCAGCTAAGGACAAAAAATAATGCTAAAAGTCACTATTCTCCCTTCCCGCTAAAAATGGCAGAGAAAAAAGGGCCTCCAAATCAGACCAAAGAAATCTCATGGTAATAAGTGATTTTTGCATGTCAAATGGTAAAAAAACATTCTTTCCTTTACAAAACTATGGGGATATAAAAAGTAAGTTCATATCTTACTGAGTTATGATCAGCTGGCCTAGACTGCGTACAGTTGCGCATATTGCAAGTAGTCCTAAATGAAAAATTGACATTGCCACAGCTAGGGCAGGTCCAGTCATCTTCCCTGCGCCCACCTACAAACATCACAAACTCAATGAAACCCAAGAAATAAAGTACATAAGAAACTATTATCAAAGGAGGCACTTAAATCAATAGAAAGATTTTCAGTTGATGGAGCAATTTTCAATGGAGTCAATTAAAACCTAGCCTTAATAGACGAAAAGTGATGTGAGTGGACACGAACGCAACTTAATCACAAAGAAAGTATGTACATCCTATCAAATGTTAAGACATTTACTACGACTTTTTTGCCTACCTCCTTTCAGGTCATCCTCAAATTGAACTTCCATTTCACAGTCCTTAATGAGTAAATTCTTAAATCCAAATAATACCTTGAGCATGGGCAAACTAGGTAATTCTTGTTTTCAATCCTAAGATATTCAAAAAAGATAATACTTATTATCAGACATGGAAAATCACCGAGCATTTAAAAACGTCATGCTCAACCTAATATTAGCATAAAAGTATGGTCCAAAAAACCAACCATTATTTAAATTAACTCAGCCAATTAATCTAAGCTACAAGCATATCACTCCATCCACGCATCCACCCATCCAGTAAATGACCAAAAACCTCTACACTAAGGACAATATATTCACAATGAATAAATAGAAGCAGTTTGACAAATGCAGTCTATCTTCAAGTAATTATAACTTTCTAACCGCATGCACAAAAATATATATGTGAACACATATACATATACTTCTCTTCAAGCCTCTATAACTATAACCTCAAATCTACTAAAAACACGCATACATATATACATATACAGATGTGTATTCATCCAGATATAAATCCATACAGCCACACAAAAGAAAATTGATGAGACATTATAAAAATAAGGACGTACCATCAGTTCGGGCACGTTTGGCTGCTGAAGAATTTCTGCTATCAACCTGTACACAAGGAATACCTATTTACAACATAATACAGCTATAATATATCAACAGAGTAGCATAAATAAAAACCCTAGCTTATCACATAGATCGCACTCGGTAGATCAACCAAAAAGTAGTCAATAAACGACGATATATATATATAAATTGAATCCGAACACAAATTGCATCGACATGAAGAGCGATCGAAATTAAGCCGAATTGAAGGGCATAAAACTAAAAGGAAATAATTCAAATCGAAACACAGTAAAGAAATTGAACATCGAACGATGTATAGGATAATTTACCTGAGACATAGCGACGGAGATTCAGAGATTGGAAAGACCTTTGCTTCGTGAGAGAAAAGGCCGTCGTACCCTAGCCAACGAACGATAGGGCTAAAGAGAATCGTGAGAGCAAAGAGGTTTTGGTGACGAAGAAAGACGGCTTTTATATAGGAGGCGACCTAAGCACTTAATGTCACTCAGCAACGTTGTGGGCCAACGGCAATCACAGTCCATTCTAAGACATATTGGGTTGGGTTGGGTTGGGTTGGAGGCAACGATGGATACTGCACCAAGAGACTTATGGTATCCCCACCATGGAAATGATACTTAATTTATCAGGTATGCAATTTGTTGGCTAGGCCTCTCATAGTTGGAGATGGATCCTGTTACATCGGGATCGATCGTGTTGTATACATCTAAAATCCTATCGACCACTTACTAAGCGGATCTAGCCGGTCACCGCATTATGATTCCTTACGATTTCATGTTTATTAGAAAAGTCAAAGTTAAGAATCATCACCAGGAAATATTCAATGTAATGGTGATATCATGTCATCATTGATAATATAATATTATCAATCAATAATAAAACTTTAATTGGACAAAATAAATCCCACTTGGACTTGCATGAATAAAGAGTGAAAAATTATTTACTTACATGACAGGTTGGTTATAATTTTTGTGGGATCCATTCATTTATTTGTCTTAATATTTTTAGTTGGTGATGATAATACACAAAATAATCTCATGCATGATCAACACTCGAGTGTGTGATAAGGTGTAATTAATGGACAATAAATAATTAAATCAATGACAATAATGTAAATATTGAGTCAACACACAAATATATAGTGACTCAGTCTGAATAACTTACTCCACTCTGAAAAACTGTAACGATGGCCTTATTGATAAAGTAAGTTGGACAAGAGAGTGAGCAATGGTTAGATCCGAGAGGGATACAATAGTTAGGACAGAGAAAGTGTGTAGAGAGATGTAGATGTAGAACTCAATGTGTAGTGAAATACCTCTCTCAATAGAGAGAGCTTACAATTTATAAGTGTGAAGCCCTTAGGTGAGGCGGTGACGTGAGAGTAAAGGGATTAGTTTATCGGGGAGGATAACTACAAAAGATAAGTACAATTAAGATAGTCTTGACTTTCGAGAGTGGGTATTCCAATGATTACTCTCCACGTGCTCTATTCTTCTTGGACTCCCTAGACCTTGGGCTAGGTCGAATTTATTAACTGGGTTTGACCCGTCTTTTAGCTGATTTGAGCTTATTTGATTGATTGGGTCTGACCCATTAGAAATTGGCTCGTCATGTAATACCACGTCACATTAACCATTGTAATGAATATTTTCTCATCAGCAACAAGATGCATTCGTATTTGGTGATGTAGCCATCAACCAAAATTTTTTACTTCAGTAAATTAGTTGTGCCGTTGAATAAGCCCAAGAAGGCATGAGCAAAAAAAAAAAGAATAAGACCAAGAAGAAAATTGTCTAAGAAGATTAAAAAAAAGTGAAAATTGGAAGTGAGTACCCCTAGATGTACTTGTTTGGAGATAAGTCCTATAAAAAAATTTATAAGGGACTAAGTCTATGTTTAAAATTATATGTAATGACTTAAGTTCATTTTTTTTTATCTCAAAAATACCCTTCCTTAAAGAAAGTTTAATATTTTTTCTCTCATATCTATTTATATCCAT